GGCGGGACTAGAGTCCATATCCGCGACGAAGTTAAGTGCCTTCCGTCGAACGCGGAGTGCGGGGAACAAATCTAGTCCTGAGATCGACAGGGTTCGGCTTCAATAGTTGCATTGACGACCGAAGTTTGTCCATCGCAGTGACTGGCGGCGTGCCTGTAGTCCCGAAACAAGCCTGCCTCGTGTGCAACCATCTCTGCCACCTCACGCAGGCAACTGAGCCCGCGGGATTGTTGCAGTGAGGTGAGAGATGCCGGAAATCTACCCTTGGACCTTGGTCACTGGTGGATAGTGCTGAAGATTCCGATCAGGACCCAAAGATGCGACCTCTGAAGACTGAGGGCGCCTGGCTCAGCTCCCCTGCTTGTGATTGATCATATTTGCTCCAGAAGAAGCAACCCGAGGAGGAGATGGAGATCCGGAAATTGGCGCAGCACTGACTGGGGACGAAGGTTTACCAGGGCCGCCGGGGTCTCTGGGAGGACTGGGCAGCGATACTGTCAAGTCCAGAGTTCAACGCTGGCCTGGCGCCGCAGATAAGCCCAATCCTAGCCGATCATTAGGTGGTGTTTGTCGTCAACCGCGGTTTTGTGAGAGAAGACGGATTATTGTTCCATGGGATGCGACCGTTACGCCCCTGGCAAATCGCAATGGCATCTGAACAATGGCGATAGATTGACAACCGTGCCGATTACGGCTTAGGTTGCAATGGCCGGAGTGACTAGCAGAGGCGTGCTAAGTGCCGTTAAGTCGCAATGCTATCATAAGAGTCCCAGTAAGATTCGTCAGTTTCTGCAACTTCATTTTGAGGCCCGCAGCATGGCCGTCGATCTATCGCAGGACCTCGTAAGCTTCTTCTCGCCCAATTTGAGCCGCAAGAACCTGAGTTACTTGTGCTGGGTTCTGCGCATCACTTGAAGATCCGGCAGCGCCAGAGTACCCAAGATGTGTTTCTGACAGGCTACATGGCCCTTCTGGGGATGTTCAGAGTCGCATCCAATGACAAGTAAAGGCTGGTTCCGATGCCACGGTGCCAGACCGTCCAGAGTAAAGTGTAGGCCCGCATATCATACCACGCCGCTGTCAGTTCTCAGAATCTACTTATATGAGTTGAGTGCAGAGGTTTTGTTCTGGAACCTTGAGGCAGCGGCCTTTGAAGAACTCCACAAACTCTGGATCCTCTGATCAGTCAGGAATGTTCAGGGCTGTCCCGGCTTGCCTTGGAAGAATCGGGGGCTCGGTTGGCGGTGTGTGAGCTCGGTCATCATCCAAGCTTGATCCCTCTGCTGGGTCTCCGCATTTTGATCAGGCCATTACCGTCACACCGAGCCCTAAAGATTCACCTAGGTCGTCATGACCGGTCAAGACGGCAAATGATTTCCTAGACTGTCAGTAGCGTCTGGCGTACACATCCAGGATGTGGTCGGGAGTGCCAATGTACTTGTGCGGCACTGAGGCTTCGTCGTTGGAACTGGCTTTGCAACGTTGGTATTTTGGCAGCTGGCCTTGCGTCGATCCTCCCGACGTGCATTTGAGGTTTGCATGGCGTCTAAATCTCGGAGAGAGACCGCCACTCGCGGAAAGGTCACCGCCGCAGCGGGAGCGGAGCATCTCGTACCTCAGAATAGCACCTCGATATTTGGCTGGTCCTTGACGGTGTCCGCAATCAAATGAAAAAAGCCTTCAGTCAGGAACCGTACGGTCCGTACCAAGCCGCGCAGCCACGTGGAGCTTGCACATCCTTTCGAAAAGTTTTTGCTCCGAGGCTAGAAAGCCAGCATCCGGTCACCTCCGCAAGGAATTCCATGTTTCCATCACATTTCAGCTTCCACTCATGCGGGCATCGGAGCGTCCAATGGAATGATTCGTTGAGCCTAGGTAGACGCGGAGAAAGGATGCTCGGATTCGGCGCCGAATGCTGTAGAAGGTTGGAACGCCGCTCGATCCCCAGAGGACTAGGGCCAAGTCGTCGCTAAGTAAGAAGATGAAACTGGCGGTCGTCATAATGGGATGGCTTCTAGAAGCCAGCCACTTTAAGCCTCCGTGGTGGGAAGTGGCTGCCCACAAGGATTGGCGAACTACCATTCAGTCGGTGTACCTGGAGCTGAACAATGATAAATTCCTGAGCTGGAAAATCCGTCTGCCGTGCTGCATCCATGGGTGTTTGGCTGTTACCATTACCCCCTCCAGCATCGCAGCGAGGCTGACAGTGCGCCGCGGTCTCATCGCTCTGCTGGCGATTTCATGGTACTTGGTGATTATGATGGATGTGATGGCTCATATTTGCGACCAGAGCCGTGCAATTCCAGAGCAAATGGCTGTCACGATTCGTGATGCTTTCCTGGCGGTAATTGCACGCGACTGAAACCCGTTCGTCGCCCTAGGCGAAAGGCACCTGGAGTTGTCTTGGCATATCGCAGAATTTCCCGTTGAGCAGAAGAAATGGCTGGACTCGTAACGCGAGATGGCTTGAAGATTCGGCGACTCGCCGATAATCAGCTCGCTAGTTCGGCGACGAGCCATGACTCTGAGAAGCTACCGGCCCCCTCGCCAGGGAAGAAAGCCCCTTTCTCAGCAATTGCCGTGCTTCCAAATCCAGCCATGACTCCGCGAGGCGCAAGGCGCCGATATCGTGGGCAACAGTGTGAATGTACCGTTGCATTGTTGGTCACGTGATGAAAACGACACCGAAACTGTGTAACCGGCCCATGCAAATCGCGTGGCCCCCAAGGATGAATCAAACCTGAGAGCAGGCCTAATGCCTGAAATATCGCGAACGAGGGTGGACAATACCCTCAACGGCCAAGGGGCTTTGTATGCGCGAGGACTGTCGAGCGGTCAATGCGAGTTGCACATGGTTAGACAAACTTTCGTCGCAAGGTCGTCGAATGTTGATCTCGATGCCCAACTACGACGGCGTCCCCGACTTCTGTGTCGGGCGACGGCACAATGCCTTGTTCTGATAGTGAACCCCTAGATTTTCTCCGCCGTTGTTAGTGTCGCCGCCAAACGCAAATTTTCGTCTTTTGGCGTACACCACCGGGCGTCGTCTCGAGCAAAAGGGGCTTCGCTGCACCATTTGGTCGTACACTATGGCGCAATCTCTGTTGAGAAGTGTAGTGCACGATGTCAAATGTTGCACGAGCGAGTTTCTCTTGTTCTCCCCCCCTGGCGCAGAACTTGGGGTCTGATGCATCGCCCAGCCCTTCTGAAGATTGAGCCAGGGGCTTTCCGATAGTGCCAGATCTTGGGTCCTACGCTGAGTCGGCGTGCCGTAGAATGTTTGTTCCGAGCTGAAATCAACATTGCCATTATCACACAATTGTCGCGGTCAAATCCGTCATTGAATGGCGTTTGCAGGCGAGAACGTCTGATTTCTTTTTCCTTGGTGCCGGCTGCAAATGATTGTGAAGGACTCACATGATCAGAGGCTTTCCTCCAGAAAAGACACTATGACAAGGCGATTGGCCGGTGATACCGGCAGTGATTGGAATGAACAGGCCGTGTGCCGAATGAAACCCCCACTACGGCCGTCGGGCTCCTATATCCACCTTCCGGGCCGGATAGCTGTAACCAAACAACTACCGGACGAAGATAGAAACGCTCAGGCATGGCACTGCCGGGTCTCTAACGTTTGCCCTCACGGAATATCAACAGTTGATCAACTTTGGTGCGACTACCGGCAGGCCATGTTTTGTAAACTGTGCGAGGCTAGAAGTCGACGAATGCGACAAACAGCGGGTTCGAGTGGCTGTGACTTGCATGGAGGCTCCAGCTATACCACTTTCGACAAAAAGACGGCCACGCCTCCTTGAAACGTACTGGCAAGAAGCTTCATGAATGGATTGACGAGAAATCAGCGTCCCCGCTTATGTCGGAGGCGGACTTCATCGCCGAAATGACATCTTCAGAAACGGAAGCGAACGTGCGGTTTGCAAACGAATTTGCCTGTCCAATGCTTTTGGTACTTAAAACCTGCTCGCCGGAAATAAAGTGCCACAGCTATGGTCGTGGATATCTGATGCCTCGTGGTTCGGTTGGATTGCCTAATATAGATGTCAGCAAGTCGGTCACCATTGAAACCTGCCGGACTCGGGGAAGAAGAGGTTCTCGAACTCTCCCGAAGTTCAAAAGTGTGCACTAAGGCGCGCTCCAAAAAGCTGATAATGAAGGCTGTGTAATTGATGTTTATTTTTGTGCCAACGCGTATATCCGATGTTATCTGTCTCGACGCACTACTTCTCGACGACATGATGTCATCTTCATCTGAGTGATGTATTCAACGCAAGAGAGTTGTCTCTATCCGTCCTTGTTCGCCTACTTACTCTGATGACTGGACGGAATTATTTGGGAACGGCTAGCGGCAGATCAATTCCTCCTTGGCTAACATGTAGACGAGGTGGGGATGAGATTGTTGGTTGGAGCTGGCTGTAAACAAGACCCCCGATCCAACGCGAGTCTCCATGTCATTCGTGCGACAGGAACCCCTCAAGATGGTCTGTAAGCGGGAAATGGTCTGCAGGGGATCTGAGGGAGCCTGGTTCCATCTGTCTTCCATGCCGATGTCTCTTTCAATGCCGCGGTGAGGTGCTGATAAGCAACTTCACAAGGTTGGCAAATCCATCTCCAGACGGTAAACCATTTCTCAAGCCAGCGAGGGGCCTTGGTCTGCTCGTATTTGAAAAGGACTGGTCAGGCACTCATAAGAACCTTGTATGTCGAGCTTCATTGGCTGGTGTGGGTTGTTTGCTTTTCGCATTAGCCAACAGCAAACATGGCCCTGGTTTGTGGGCATGTTGTTGCGGTACAAATGAGTACGTGATGACGGGACATCTGTAACCGAGCCTTGCTCTTTGTCCCTCCATTGCTTGGCCCATTCTTTTTCCGGGTAATTGGCATCTGTTTAGCAGGTGTTCAAGACCTGCCATAATGAACGAATGCATGGGTGAGTGGCGTGATATCTTGGAGCCAACAATTCGGTTAAGCCGAGATGCGGCGGAACCTCAGGCGTCTTCGAGATCGGTCATTTTGCGCCTCTTCTGGGGTCTTTTCCAGGACCCAAGGTCGGTGAATCCCACTGACACGGGTGGACGAACGGAACTGTCGCTCACAGAATGTACCAGGCCATTGACAGCCACAGGGTGTGCTTCTGATGCTGGTTCGGCGTCTGAGGAAATGTCAAGGCCTTCAGTGAACACCATGTCTCCCTTAGTCCCCAAAATCTCTCTGCCGGCCTCCTCAAGCAGTATGCCAAAAGCGAGCAGAGCAGATTCATCCATGCTTCGCTCATCTATGTTCCGTGCCCCAACTTGGAAGTCTGCGCTGCGCTTCTGGCCGAAATAAAAATGGCTGGCATATGAGTGCACGGCTTTGAGAAGATCACTGTCCGGCAAGGACTCGCGGCCACCATCGGGAAGATTTCGCTCATGCGCCATGTAGACGTCAAACTCAGCAAATCGCTCGGGTGCAGATTTGCGGCGGAACAGGACCTCTTCCGGGGCTAGGGTGGTGGAGCGGACGGAATGTCTGTTGGATCTGCTGGGCCTGGCCGGCCTGGGTGCCATTGTTGATGTCTTCTCAATGCTGACAGCGGAGCTCAAGTTTGTCTCATAGCTGATTCTTCCTGGAAAGTCGTTAGTACCCTTTGGGAAAACAAATGCCAAAGACGGTGCCGAATGCTCACCTGCAACTGCATCGTAGACGTTAGCGTGACGCTTGGTCTCGTTTGCTTGAGGATTCGTTGGTTCTGGTTTATTTGAACCGTGCCTGACCGGAATGGCCTGGTCGTTGTTCAGCCGCTCCATCTCGATTCTGGGGATGAGACAGGGCAAGGTAGGAACGGTCTTGGTAGATCAGACGCCGCTTGGAGGCGGTCGACAGAGGGTGTGTGTGGAGGTTGCAACGATGCTTGGCAGCAGCCTGAAGGCGGCCGGATACTTGGGCTATCTCGTTATGATGAAGGGCGGCGTCTGCCGATGGCGAGTCGGCTCCAAAGCGTCCGCTGTTGTTAGGGTTGAAGTCGAGGTTGCTGGTCTGGCCCGGCCTGATATGTCTAAGGTGGTCTCCAAGAAGAATACAGGGTGAAAGTGCGGTCAATGCCCGTTCCTTCCTGTCATGTATGTCTCTGGAAAGAACGGACTGGCGGTGCAGTTGGGAAGACTTTGGCAGGTGGGGCCATGTGAGTCTGAGCCAATGATATCCACGGGCATGTCTGCTATCGGCAGCTCCCTGCTGTGCGATAGCACCTTTACAGGGAGCTACTGCGCTGAGAACCAGTAGCCCAGGAGGTGCGCGCAGTCGCAGCTGACATCATCCTGGCTCTCCAACCTCAAGGCATCCGCCTAACCTCGGATGATGCGGTGGCATATCGTCGCTTCTCATCAACACCATCGTCGAACACCCATTTCGCCCAACCGCTCAACCACATCTCCCTGCTCTTCATTGACCCCTGATGAATGCAGGCCCGTCTGTTTGCTCGCTCCACGGGCGAGCTCAGCCCTGAGGCCTTCGCCCAGGCGACCACCTCAGGCCTCGTCCGAACCTTTGCAGCTGCCCCCCAACACCGGTTCGATGGCGGAGGTGCTGAGCCCGAAGTCGAAGGCAGACAATCTGCCTTGTGGGCACATCGGATAGGCGTCAATGCTCTGGCCCTAGACAAGTTCGATGGTCGGCTGTGAGACACATAGACAGACACCTTACCTTACTCCTCGAGCACTAACACACGCCATAGACTGATCTCTGGAGGCGCTGATGGCTCCGTGAAGCTTTGGGATCTGGAACATTCTCCTAATCCAAACTCTTCCTACACCTTTGAGCCCATTGCAAATGCTTCTCGCTCTGTCGGCGACGATGGCATTGCTCACAAGAATGGCGTTACCCACCTCGACTTCTTCCCCTTTGACTCGGACGCCTTCCTTTCAAGCTCTTTTGACCGTACACTGAAGCTATGGTCTACCGAAAGGATGGTAGTTTCTGCCAACTTCGATCTGAACGCCGACATCTACACTCATGCGACCAGTCCTATTGCCGATCATCTCCTCGTCGCCTGTGCCACGCAGCATTCATCCGTTCGCCTTGTCGACCTCAAGTCCGGGTCCTCGGTCCAGTCCCTCGTCTCCCAGGGCGGCGCTGTGCTATCTGTAGCCTGGAGTCCTCGCCATGAACATGTCGTTGCCACCGGCCATTTCGATGGAAAGGTCCGCCTATGGGACATCAGGCGCGCTTCCGGCCTCATTGGCCAGCTCGACCAGGAGGATCACCTGGGTGTCGTCCACCGCTTCAACCACGCCAAGGCATGCGGCATGGATTGGAACCAGATGCCGCACTTTCGCAGCGCGGCCCAGGCCCACAACGAAGGTGTCAACGCACTTACATGGTCCGACGACGGTAAGTACATCATCTCTGCTGGCCTTGACCGTCGCATACGCGTCTGGGATGCTGCCACGGGGGCGAACACGCTGGCGGCCTTCGGCTCTATGATTCAGAATCGACAACCAAAGACGGTCAGCATGTTTGTCACTCCAGCCAGACTCACACCTATTCGTCGAGATCTTCTCTTCTGGCCGAACGAGAACGAGATCCTGGTCATGGATCTGCATGAGGGCACTTTGGTATCTCGCCTACGCGTTCCAGGGCCATCCACAGCAGCAGGCGCTCAGGGCATTGGAGGTATCAACGTCCAAAACCGCACCATGGATATTGTATGGCGCGGACACGCAGGATACAGACTTCAGAAGGGGCCAACCATGGGCGGAGGAAGCTCATGCGGTGCAGTATACACTGCCCACCTAGACGGCCAGATTCGAGCATGGATGCCGCGGCTGCCAGGGCCAGACAGAGACGACGACACCTCGGATCCTATCGACAAGGATGAAGAAGAGAGAGGCCGTAAACGAAAGGCTCTCGACGATGCTTTTAGGAGCTTGATGGGGAAGCAAATCACGTTCAGATGACGCGTTAATTTGCCCACCCAGACCTTTACCAGATTCTATCCGTACTGGAAATATTTCAGGGCGTTTGGCGTGCCATGTCCGTAATTAGCTGTATCGACTTGGTGCTAATCCGTGACGCTGATGTGACTACCCTTCTCAACATTCATGCCAAGTTCAGCTACGTAACGTTGCAAAGATCGGATGCCTCACGAAACTCACAAGCTTGCCCCTGCATGTCAACATTTCCTCCGCTTCATCGACCTAGTAACATTGAGGGCCATGACTTACAGAGATCTCTAACATAGACATCCGAGCAAAAGACATCCCCCGCGGAAAAGCATAGCGCGCATATCCCAAAGGTAGCATTCTGGATCTAGCAATGCAGCTCAGCTCTGGCATATCAAAACCACTGGGCCTGTGCCTGAGGCAAAATCCGTCGCGGCCACGTCCAAGAACACCGATACCAAGACCAGTGAGTAATCGCCGACCTTCAACATGCCGAACTCACCAGCAATACCACCCCTCACGGCGCCCGTCGGCCCCATTAGCAACAAGAACCCTTCAATCCCGCCCCGATCATCACCGCTCAGACACTCGCACATCGAACAGTTGATAACCCACCTGTGATTCTCCACGTCGGCGCCGTTACATCGGCCCTCTGCCGAATCCCCTCAAGGGCAGGGCTAGAACGGGGTCTCTGCATCCCATTTCTGCTCGGCCCAATGTGCTGCTCGACGTCCGCCCGGCTTCTATAAGTCCCGGGGTTGGCAGGGTTTGTGTCCGCGTCCCGCCCCTGTTGCCGTCCTCCACCCCCACCCACCGGGCGCCCCGGAACCGCTTCCCCGCCGACCTTTTCTGACCTCCTGCATTAGCTCCCGCGCCGTCCCAGCATCATGGTCATTGTTACTGACAGAGAGGCGCCTCTTCACGACGGAGGGTGCGACGCACGCACGCCTCACCCCAAATCAGCCCTGTAACCAAGCTCCCTCCTCTTCCATCGACTGACGCGCCACTTGTGCATCGAGATGGGCAAATTAGCCATGGAAGCAGGGGGGTCGGGCGCGGAACCGGCGGTAGATCCAGAGCACACCACCTCGCTCGGATCGGACCTGGGGTTGGAAAATACGGGGTTGCCATCGACCAAGATCAGACGTCACAAAATAGGAAACCCGATGAAATCGCCCAACGAAAGAAGCACGGGTGTCTCTCCAACGCACGGCTGGGGGGGGGGGAATGGATTGCCAAACGACGTCGAGATGACAACAGACACTAGCTAGTTCGCACCGCGAACTGTTTGAATCCGCGAGACCACATTAGCGCTGCGTAGCGTGGATATCCTGCCATGAACGCTCAGACGTCTTCACACCGGTCGTCGAAAATGGGATGGAAAACCAGGGCTGACGCGCGCTGCGCGTTCCCCATCTTTTCGACCGGTCGCAAAGCTTAGCACATAGTCTGCCCCCTTCGTTTTCGTTCCGGCATCCTCAACGAACATGTAAGTGAGACTAGCCGTCAAAAACCTCGTCGAATGACAAACCATCCCGCCGGCGTTGGTGTCCCGACGTTCCTGGCCGGACTTACATGCGACTCACACGTTTTCCGTCCTGATTCCTCAGCGGCACGGACCTAAGACATGCCGGGGGGGGGGGGGGGGGGGGGGNGGGGGGGGGGGGGGGGGGGGGGGGGGGGGGGGGGGGGGGGGGGGGGGGGCTAAATGGACATCTTCAGCCCACACACACCTTATGGCCCCCAAATATCGCCAGCCCTGCGCTGCAAGCCTCTCCCACCTCCCACACGCGTGGCAACATCGTGCCGTCCGCCGCCTCTCGTGCGCCACTATGGAACCGCGGCTAACCGGTTCGTCCGGGCGACGGACGATGATGCAGGGGTAGCCCAAAGCAGACGAGGGGCGGGCGCATGAGCTATTCGTCACGGGGGCATGAGAAGGCTGAACGCGCGATGTTCCCACGCCAAAAGAGGATGATCGTCGACGGCGCCGAACATCATTTTCCTTCGGACGGCGCCACGCCCACTTCCCTTGGCAATGACACGCCAGGCACCTTACAGGTTTAGGGCGTGTTGGAGAGTGAGGCAATAGATTTGCTATTTGATTCTAGACTCCGAGCAACTGTCGTCATTCCCCCTTTGGATCTGCTCTATGGTCCGTCAGGGGTTGAAGAGGGTGAGGCGCGCGTCGTCGTCGTGGTTCGGAAGTGTGCCGTGGTTGCATCCATCCAGAGACGGGAAGAAGTTTATGTGCCCAAGTGGAGGCTGAAGTGTTGGATATTCCGTCTCGCGGACTGCAGGTCAACAACAGCGGAAAACGCTCTAGACGTCGCGATTTGGCTTGGCTTGCGAGATTGCGCGCGCGGGCTGGGAGACTATTGTCGACGATGCCTTCAGCGTTAATGCACTGATATGGGGGTTAGGGGGGGGCGAGGCGGGCAGATTATGTTGGATTTTTTGGAATTACCGTGGGCAGCCGCGGTTGCCGTTGTTGGGCAGTCATCGATCGATCTGGGGCTAGGGGCCTCCGGAAGACGGAGGTTGACGGGGCTCGGTGCCGGGTCGTAGGGGCCGATGAATCCACTTCTCACGGGGTTTCGGCGCCGAAGTTGATGTTCTACCGTTCCCGTCCCCGGCGTTAAGACCGAAAGCGACATGTCCCGCTGTTATTTTCAGAGCAAAGTTTTAACAGCCTGATAGAACGCACATGTGCCGTTTTGGATGGGATTGTTACATTGGATTTCAGACCAAGTAAGGGCGTGTACCTCTGGGAGATGCGAAGTAGCCTCGAGCGATATCGCCAGATCGACGTAAGTTTTTGCTCGGCAGGAACCAGCTGGCTGATTCAATTCTGGGGTAATATATTGTGATTGCTTGTCACATTTGTAGACGCAAGCCAAACTCATACAAACTAGGCAAGATCATTTCAAATACTTATCCCAGGATGTTGGATCCTAGACTCATGGTTGTGAATACCAGGTTTGAAGGGAGTGATCAGTACTATTTAAATCCCCTGGACCATCGCGAGGAGTAGCACACAGTGACGAAAACAATTATATGATTAAGACGGTGATGATGGACGCCCTGAAAAAAGAAGGCCAGGTTGGCGTCTGGCATTGATTATAGCACTGGTTCTCATGGCCGGGCTCTACTTTATTCCAACCATCTACGGCATGGCGCCATGAAGACCAATAAAGCTCAGTTCCCGTGACTCTCAAACTTGACGAACGGATTCTCTCATTTCATGAAATATGGTCTCGTATCCGTTGCTCTGTGAGTGAGCTGCACCGCAAGAGATCGGCGAAAACCTCCGGTTTGTCTTCCAAATCTAGTCGGCAACAAGACTCACTATTGGTTAAAAAAAGGCCAGAGGAACCCCAGAGTATTCGAGATCAGGCTGTGCTCTTTGCTATCATATCTAGGCTAGGCGAGCATGCATCTGGCCAATTACCCCGCTCTGACAAGCATCATAAGCCTCCTCGACCCTCCAACCTCCAACGTGAACTTGCGCATATCGAAGGCCAGCAACTACCATGGAAATAGTTCGAAAGTCTTCTCCCGCTACATCGCAGGTCACACCTACAAAGGGTCTACAAGATGCAGTCAGCGAGTTTCGGAAGACTTTGAATGATGGCCAACGTTCAGACCTCGACAAACTCAAAGGTATCCCTGATGCTGACGCTGCGCTCGTTTTCACAGCCCAGCTAGACAGGTCCACCAGTCAGAGAAACTCTCCCAGCAAGGGCACTCGACTTGTATCAGTCCTGCAATATGTCCGCGACTCTTCTGTTATCATAGACACCTTTGTCTCCTCGCACCCGGAGATTGCTGCGCTAGTCTGGGGGAGCGTGAAGCTGACCATGCAGGTACAGCAAGATCATTATTACTACATACTAGAGATAATTTAACTTTATTTAGGTGGTGCTAAACTTCGCTTCGTACTATGAACGAGTCTCAGACCTCTTTATGCAATTTTCTGGAGACTGCCCCCGTTTTGCTGAGTACCAAGCCTTGTTTCCGAACTCGCCTGGATTGCAGAAGGCGGTCTGCGATTTCAACGCATCAATCATCTATTGCTGCAAGCATGTCGTCGAAGCGATACAACGACCTTGTAAGTGAACACCCCTAGTATCTAGCACGTCAAGTAAATATCACTAACGTGATACAGGGCAAACACATCTGCGAAACGCGTTCTTGCAGTCGTTTCAGCAGGAGTTCAACCCCGACCTAGAAAGGATTCGAAGTTGTGGCCTTGAGTCAAAGCAAGAAATCAAACTGGCAAAGGCGAGGGCCGATCAACAGGACCAAAGACTCCAGCAAATGGAGAGGAAAGCGGCATCCAAAGAGAGGCATAAGGTCAGGCAATTGTTCTCACGAGTAGGAAGCGACCTCGACACAATTAAGAATGACCAGATTCAGCAAGACATTCGTCGAGCGGGTAAGTTGCTCTTCATAGCTGCAAATGATGCTGAAAAATAGGCTGACAGACTTGTAGAGCAAAGCCGTCGTCAGCTTCTTGACTCACTATCGTCTTACGACTACCTCTCACACTTCAAGAAAGCCTGCAAACTGAGGCACCCTAAAACTGCAGAATGGCTTTTCCGATCAACTGCTTTTACTCAATGGGAGGAAGGACTTTCCTCGCCATGGCTGTGGTGTTCAGGCAAAAGTACGTCAAATGAAGAGTTTCTTCAACTATACTAATTCAAAATAGTTGGATCTGGCAAGACAGTCCTCACGTAAGTAAACTCTTAATTGGAAAGCTCTTCAGCTATGGCAGCCATTGACCCTACTTCAAGTGCAAGTGCCGTCGAACATATTTATGCGCACGAGCGTAGGGCCAGAGAAAATGTCACATTCTTCTTCCCTCATTTCGCCGATCAGACACCGCTATCTGCAGAGACTACACTTCGGTCGATTATCCGACAGTCACTCGACCTAGTGAGACTGTCCAGCGATTGGGAAACACGTCTAATAGAGCTGGATCGGAAACCCTCCTCGGAGCTGGGCGAATTAACATCACTTCTTCGACAAGTAATCGACCAGTCTGACACATTCTATATCTTTATTGACGCACTAGATGAATTTGAGCCGGCAGAACGACGTGCGCTTCTTGATTCTCTGGTCTCAGTTGCCTCCGGGTCGCGCTTAAGAGTCTTCGTTTCTAGCCGTGAAAGCATGTCAGGCGAACTTAGAGGCTGGATTCCAACCATTGAGATAGTTTTGATGGCATCTCCGGAGGCCAAGATCGACATTGCTACTTTTGTTCAAGAGATACTCCAAAGAAGACAGCAAAACGGAGATCTTATGGTTCAAGACCAACATATTGTTGATGATATCAGACAGGCACTTATTAATCGTGCGGACGGAATGTAAGTTGATGATGACTGTACTCTATGCTACCTACTGACAGATGAGGTTTCTCTGGGTTACTTTCCTATTAGATGAAATTTGTGCCCAAACCTGCGACGACGATATTACAGACGCCGTGGAACGTCTTCCAAAGACCTTGACTGAAACGCTGAGCAGAGCCCTTCGGCGCATCATTAAGCAGGGCAAAGCTGGAATTGCAAATAAAGCATTCCAATGGATTGCTATAGCGAAACGCCCTCTAACACTAGATGAGCTCCGTGAAGCCATCTCTATGAAAGTCGGCCAACCATCCTCCAATCCGGGACAGCTAGTCAATGGTATAGAACGTCTGCCTACGTGGTGCGAAAATCTCGTCCGTGTTGACGAAGAATCGAGAACTGCAGAGTTTGCCCACAAGGCAGTTCACAAGTTCATCGTCGAAGGATCATCAGGACCTGACTACGCTCAGTTTCATTTCAAGACAGAAGACGCCGATCATCATGCTGGTGAAATTTGCGTCACCTACCTGAACTTTAGCGAGTTTGTGACAACTATGACGCGACGGTCGCAAACAATTAAAATCGACCCAACCAGTATGGCCCATTCAGCATTGAAGAACTCATGGAACCTGCCCAAGTCGATCAGTAGCGCCGTTATCACAATGCGCAAGAGTGTCCCAGCTGAGACTGACCCGGCTGGGATACGGGCTACATACAACAGGTCGGACGATGCAGAAGCTATAAACACGCTACAAGTCCATCATCCTTTTATCAAGTACGCGTCAGTACACTGGATTTCCCATACCACTCGATTCAGGCATCGTAAGTCCTCGACATGGGGAATGTGGCAAGAGATTTTCACTCAAAAACATGGTCTGGCAAAGATACCTTGGCTGAACCAAGAAGTGCCGGGAGGTTTAGACTCCAATGTATTTCCTTGGAGTTTCGCAAACCGTCATTTTGCTCTCATCCGATACCTTGGACGTCTCGGCAAGATAGGTGATGCAGAGATACGGGGGGCCTTAGACAGCTGTGCGACTGATGGTGATGTTGACTTGGCGAGCGCTCTACTTGAGACTGGACATGCGGTTAGGATCGCCTCGTCAAATCTACAAGAAGCTTCATTACGTGGCGACATTGAAGTCGTACAGCTATGGCTTTCTGTGGGGGCCAACGTCAACGAAGACTTTAATTGTGGGCATACTGCCTTGAGAAAAGCATCAGAAAGTGGTCACATCAATGTCGTAGAGTTATTGCTTTCCGCGGGAGCCAACGTCAATGTACAGCCTGCTGATGAGATTGCGTGGACTGCTTTACAAGCAGCTTCAGAGGGTGGTCATATTGATGTTGTAGAGCGATTGCTTTCTGCGGGGGCCAACGTCAATGCAGCGCCTTTTCATGTGGATGGATGGAATGCTTTACAAGCAGCTTCAAAGGGTGGTTATATTGATGTTGTAGAGCGGCTACTTTCTGCGGGGGCCAACGTTAACGCCGACCCTTCTGAATTGGGGTATACTGCTTTACAAGCAGCTTCAGAGGGTGGTCATATTGATGTTGTAGAGCGGTTACTTTCTGCCGGGGCCAACGTCAATGCAGCCCCCGCCAGACTTGGGCAGACTGCTCTACAAGCAGCTTCCGCGGGTGGCCACATCGAGGTCGTGGAGCGACTGAGAGCTGCAGGAGCCCACCTATAATTGTTCTTGTTTGTCCAAGGACGGCATCGCGTTCCTCCTAAGAATTGCAAGGGTTGGCAGTGTGTTCAAATCGGCCACGGCGGCCATAGATATAATAGCTATTCCAAGTCAGAACGTTGAGTTCAAGTGCTCGACAGAATCGAGTCTCTGCTGCTTACCACCGAATCTCTCCCAGATCGTCACGAGAGTTTTTGGTCCATCCTGACACAGATCGAAGCGGGAATTGTGAGATGGACCACGGGCAATAACGCAACCCATTGATACTGAGAACAGATGTCAGGTCTAGCAATCTGTCACTCATCTGTAGCGAGGCCGTCCTGGAGCCGAGAAATATTCGCCAGCTGGTAGTGACGGATAGAGATAGTTCGGCTGATCCTTATGCTGAGACCTGTACTGCGAATATCTAGAGATACGGTGCTTCCAGTGCTCGACAATGGTCACTGAAAAACCTGGTAACCCATGCAGGGTTCGTCCATGAAATGGATGCGCAAACCTTTCATTGTGGACCTGGCAGAACTAAGAGTATGAACCCTTATTTATCTTGAATGTTCCCATTAGACTTTGGGTTATCTAGTAATAGCATCTATGTCTTTGCGTAAGTTCAAACATGGCCAGACTAACTGGAAGAGAATTTGCATATCGTTTACCATCGGGAAAGAGGCTTAACTTCTGGGTGGTTGGCACTTGGGCTGACACGCATGGCTCCAGACTGTCCGTTTGGAAATGAGTCGTGAAGCAGAAATAGCTGAACCACCGGGTCAAAGGACAACAGCAAATGGGGGTGAGGCATCTGTGGCCCCGCCATCTCTACGACGACGACGATATGCGCCGTACTCGAAACTAATAGCTTCGCAAAGAATAAGTGGACAGGCGTATCAAAACATGCCAAATTGACGCGGCCCTAAGTACATTCTGTGATAATCGTTCCCCAAAGGTCAAGGACATCGATAGGTTAGCGACTGGGTGGTACAGTCTTCATATCTGCTCACCAAAGAACCCTGTCAACTGCCCAAAGGTTGTTCGCAACACCTTAGCTCACTTTCGCAATGCCTGAGGCCAGCCCACATTGGCAATCGAGTCATGCAATGTGAGCTGATTGTTTATTTGGTTGAGAACAACTGTTTGACTCATAATTTATAGATCTGAAGACGGTAGAAACCCCAGCTAACGAGTCCTTAAGCACTTGCCATTGCTGCAGCTGCCTCATAGACTTTGGCGACGTATATAATGTTTGCCAGGACTCTTATTTCCATTCTTCAAACAAATTTAGTCACGGACACGCCGTGGTTGATTTTTCTTCAACACTGTAGAGAGTTCTGCTCGACACCGGCATATGTGTCTATGTCTTCACAACAATGACCAGAAGATGATCAGACAACATGTGCGTATTCTGGAATACGCAAGAAACAGAACTGACAGACAGAAACAACAAGCTCAGACGTCACAATCAGAGTGAAGCATGTACGCCATGTTGGCAATACTTTCACTCCCGTACGTCCATAGGTCTGAAAGCGCATGTTGTCAGCAAGCGGCGCCCCTAGATTGCTGCTTCTCGTAGAAACCATCACAACCGTAGATATGGAGAATTCATACTACACCTATATTCCAATTACGCAAAAACATTTTTTTCTTGCAGCATGATTAATACCTGGGTATTATCTCAAAAAGTCCACGAGGACACCGTCTCAGCATCCCTTATCCCGTCTAAATCCTCTTTTCAATGTGTTCCTTTCCCCATTACTCTCTTCCATCTCATCAAACAAAATCATTACTAACAACAAAAGACCATGTCCAAGCCTTAAAACCCGTCATTAACCCCAATAGCCCTCTCCGACGCCTTGCGATCATTGTTAAAATCGACCCACCACCGATGACTCTCCTCCTTCCCGGTCCAGTTGCCCTCCGCATCCACCTCGTCCCACGGCTTCGGCGCCAGGATGTAATGCACATTCTTCACCTCCGCATCCCTCCAGATCTCGTCGTGCACGCCCTCCCACCGCAGCGTCTTGAGCGCGTTGTACACGTACGGCAGCGGCACCCACCGCCCGCGGTACAGCTCCGACAGCAGGCTCTGGTCCGCAAAGTCCATGTCCATCGCCCCCTGCTCCATGTGCTGCACGATCTGCCGGAAGAGCCGCTTCGACGGGTTGACCACCTGCAGCCCGCCGTTCATGAAGCCCAGCGGGCTCGCCGTCACCGGGTCCGGGCCGACGCGCTGCGCCTCCTCGGGGCTGCCGTGCTGCGTCGTGAAGGCGCAGTTCTCGGGCGTCCAGTCCTTGGGGTAGTGCGGCTTCTTCAGCGGGTTGCAGACGCACGCGTGGCCGGCGGCGAAGACGCGCACGCTGGGGTTGCGCTTGCCGGTGCCGGCGGCGGCGAGCTCGCTACCGTTGCCGTCCTCGCCGGAGCCGTAGCCGCTCTCGGCGTCGACGCGCTTCGAGGCGCCGATGAGCTCGGCCGGGGTGTGTTCGGCGGCGAAGTCGCCGTCGTCGAGCTCGAGCTCCATGAGCTCGTCCATGTTGCGCAGCACGAGCATGTCGCTGTCGAGCTGGACGACGCGGGCGTACTGGTCGAGGCTGAAGGGGGTGAGCTTGCTCCAGCAGTCGTAGAAGCGCGGGTCGTTGGAGTAGTCGCGCCCGGCGGTCGGGAGGAGGTACTCGATGCGCTGGGCGGGGATGCCGCGGCGCTCGAGGGCGGCGAGGCCCTCGGGTGGGAAGGTGTCTGTGTAGAGCGCGACGAGGGGGTACGCGGAGCCGGACTTGAGGAGGGAGTGGTGGAGGGTGAGGAGGCCGGAGAGGTAGTCTAGGTTGGTGATGAGGGTCGTCCAGACTGGGGAGGCTTGTTAGCTTTGGGGGGTTCGGTGGTGAGAGGGGATGTTCTGTGTATGGCGGATAGCTTCTTTTTGGGTTGGGGTTGTTCATCGTGTGAATTTGGTTGTGTGAGGGATGAGAGTGAGAGTGAGAGACGAACCCTTGTCCGAGTCAACGGCGCGCTTTCCGTCCGACATGTTTGCGGTCTTGGTGATGATAAAAGGAGCAAGTCGTGAACGATGCGATCTTGGCCTCGGAGCTTCAGCTTCAGCTTCAGCGCTCGGTTTGCGACAGCTTGCGACTTTGCGATGCGCGCGCGCGACACGGCGGGGCAGGTTCCGATGGTGGAGGCGGGGTTACCAAAAGAGCAGGTAATGACGAGAGATGGATAACAACGGAACCGTCTGCGCACGCCGGGAGATAGTAACACACACACACACAAGACCACGTTTCTTCTCACGAGATTGTTGAACGAGAATATGTAAAGATGCAAGAAGGAAGTCAAGGCCAAGGGGGGCAGGGACGGAGGGACGACGAAGGGTAGGTAAGGTAAGAAACCACCAGATCCGGAAAACTCTAAGGCCGGGGAATGGGGAAATCAGCATTCGACGAAAATGGGGAATTATACAGCAAAGGCAGCACACGAGAAAGATGAGAAATGCGACACGAGTCGTAGCGTCAACTAAACCCCATCCGATCCCAAAAGTAACTTAGGTCCCCCTACCTCCTTCCCACCTCTGGCTGTCCCTTGCCCGTAGAAGAGACCCTCAAAGGGCGCGCGGTACGGTTACGGGAATTTTTGCTCCCTCCAGCTACTAGGTAAGGGTCCGCGCGGGTTGCGCGTAGCTTTGGGGCTGTCCCGTCTTCAGGTAAGAGGGAAAAAAAGGCTGATAACCAGCGAGAGATTCCGATCGGCCGGAACGCCGATGACGCCATCATATTTGCTACATCGGACTTTTTGGGAGGGGAGCACAGGGGCTGTGGCCAGCCGGCGGCGCTGCAAATGGAGAAAATGCGAAAGCAGCAAAGGCGCATTTGCGACAGCGGGCCGGCGGGGAGGGACAGCGGACAGGAACGGGGACGATGGGTAGGGGGGTTGGGGCTTGCACTTAGGTATCCGTACAAGTAACCAAGTCAGTGTATCTATCTCCCCGCCGACGGGATATCTCTACGGATAAGGACTCAAGACACTTGGGAATGAGAGATTGCCAGAGTTGCCATTTGTCAAAGCCCGCCCGCCTACGCCCCGTTAACCTCCTCCTCTACATGGCGTGGAGCGTTTACCAAGATGGACTTACTGAGGGGCAGGCAGCTTTCGACAAAGAGTCATAGGAACGAAACCCCGAGCTGACACCGTGACGGTCGCGACGGTCGTGATAGGCGGAGACGAGGCGGACAACTATATCAGAGTTCCTCTAATACGCCGAGAATGGCAACGGTTGTCGCCGGCTCTAGGTCCCCTGGATAACTCTCACGACTCAGGAAACGAACCTACCCTTCCTTCTTCCCGCCCGTCCATCGTAACAGTCAACCATCCGGATGTCCTGGGAAAGGTGCAATCCGTCAGTTGAAGTGACCCCAGACATCTCAGCTGCAGCCCTGGAAAATCTCGCCCTGCCTTCTCGCGTCTTTCGCGCTGAACCTTAACCATTGGTATCAAAAGGGATAGCAAAAAAAAAAAAAAAAAAAAGCCTCTTTGTTTTGCGAAATCATCCGGCGGGGTGCTCCCCTGCAACATCTTAGATCGGACGACGGGGGCCCTGCCTGCCAGCAGCCAGCTAAGAGAAGCTGCAGGCTGCAACTGCACAGCAGCTCGAACCAATCACAGCCAGCGGCGGAGCTGCACAACGTGCAGCTTGTCATTGACGTGATCAACAACCCGGCATCCATGGGAAATCGCGCGCGCGCGTGAAGCCCCGAGGTAATTACATGCAGCAACGCACAGCCGCGAAAGAGAACTAAGTAGCACACATAACATCAACCCAAGAGGTTAATTCAGCGTTATTATCCTCATTAACAACGGACACGAGAGTGCTTCATGGAAGAAACAACTGCAGGGTCGCAGTCCAGGTAGACGACGGCGAAGAAGCGAGAGAAGGGCCAGGAGTGGATGTGGGGCGCCCATTCATCGGTTTCCGAGATCCCGGCGCCTAGAAACACCCGAGTCCGCTTTGCCAATCAAAGCATCATCAC